GGATTTTGCCCTTTTTTAGGCTCCAAAAATATGATTTAACATGCGTTTCATTCGTTATGTTTGGGTTTAGTCGGTTCCAGTTGTTCTTAGGGTTTAGTATTTGGTATAATGTACGTATTTTTGCCAAAAAAAAAATCATAAATACGTACATTTTTAAGTGTTAAAAAAGGGCAAATCCATAAATTATTCAAAAAATGGCAAAATCCATAAATGCCATTATAAAAAAGGGCAAAATCTGTAATAATCCCTTAATAGAATATAAGTGCGTTAATTGCGCCCTGACCTAATCTTCACCTCGCCCGTCTTGAGCCAGATTTTTTTTTTTTTTTTAGCCGGATGATTTTCTTTCTGTGCAGAATCTCATAAATCTTGTTCCGTTAACAGACAGATACATTAAAGGTTATGTTGACGGTTTCTTAGTAGCACGACACGCTCTAACTGTTCACGGTGTTACAACAGTGACATTTTGTCCTTTGGGATCTGCCTAGCGACTTCCTGGGGCGTTTGTGTATAAACTAGGATCGCTAGAGATTGATCGCCAATCTGATAACTCACTTGAGGGTTGGGATGAATTGATTGATGAAAATCTCCACATTGGGGGTGGGGGCTTACCAGTTGCAGCAACTTTACTTTGGTACCCTAGTTCAATTTACTATTTTAGAAGCTGGTAACGCAAGACACAATTTTGTAGCCTTTGCGTTTTTGTTGATCTGCTTGCTTTTGTAAAATAACTTGCTTTTGAACATGTATGACACTATTTAGCTATCAAATTTTCTCTTAAACTAAACTTCATATTTTGTTGCACAATTGCATTATATTAACTTTATATTTAAACTATATTGTTGTGGGCGAAGAAAAAAAAAAAAACTATATTGTTGTGCAAAAACATATCTCAAATTGTGAAAAAAATGAATTTTATACCTACAATTTATGTTTTATGCAAAATCATGCATACATCTTAAATCTCGGAAAAAAAAAACTCACATCAAACTTTCATTTACAATGTTAAATTAAACATTCATAATGGTATAAATCGGTATGTACTTTAGTATCTTGAAATTCAAGGTAAGCAGTTCCGTTTTTATCTATTCCGTTTATACCATTATGAATGTTTAATTTAACATTATAAAGGCTCGTGACTGGTAAGAGAATAGATAAAAACAGAACTGCTTACCTTAAATTTCAAGATACTACATTCAGTGATATCAATAATGGAGATAGAGACTATGTCCGTTTTGTGAGATATAACCCATGTCCCGTGATTGAAATGGCCACTATGACTCTGTAGCCCGCGAGTGAAAAATCAACATATATTCATGACTCCTTATCTTCTTCTTTTTTTTAATGAATTTTTTGTTTTTAATCTATCTTATGTCCAGTTTCCTTTACATACCTTTTAATCTTCTAGAGACTGTGACGCTAATAGTGTTAAACATAGTCGAATAATTGGTTGATCCACTATATTGTTATCCATGGTTGAATATTTCTCATAATTGTTTGATAATGATCAGAGAGGTAAATTGCATCTAACTGGATTTATATGACTGCAATTGACAGGTGAATTGAGTTTCTAAGATGTCAATGGACAAGTCAGTCCAATCACATTTGTTTTGTTGCACTGCAGTCGCACAGCCGTCCATTTAAATGGATTATATAATACACCGGCCAGTATGTTCGGATTAGCTCTGGTAGTCTAGTGGTAGTGACAACTCTTTTTGCTTGGAAGGTTACAGGTTCAAATCCCACAATCCTCAAAATTTCCATTTTATTTTTTATAGGCCTTTAAATTTGTTTTTGCTTTTCTAGCTTTTAAATTCTCGGGGACCGCTTTGTTAATAGTCAGTACATTTAAACAATGAATTGAAAATCAAAATAATAAGAGCATCTCCAAAGGGAGTTTCTCTTCAACTTTTTGATGAGTTCTCATCTATAATTGCCAAAAAAATAAATCAAAATTGATAAAACAACAGAGAATCGATTCTCTTAGGAGAGTTTTGAGAACTTGTGAGAGCCGGACACGTGTCACTAATCGATTGGATGATATGTTTTAACAAAAAAAAAAAAAAAACACTCCTTTGTTTTACCTTTTCTCTCGACAAAAAATAAGCACACCGACTCCCTTTCTCTCTCGCGATGGCGATCAAACAAGGTGATGAGTCGACGCTGATTTCGTGGGTTCCCGATGAGTCGACGCCGATTTCGTGGATTGCCAATGATGATTGAAAATTTTGCGCAAGGGTTTTGAGTTTCGGATGATTGGAGGTTACTCTAATATAAATGAACCGTGACAAAATCATTTTCTAATAATTCATTCTGATGGCTGCTGATCATTGCTAGATAAATCAAATTTGATTTCGATTTTTGGGTACATGGTTTAATTTGGATAGTTAATTGTAGTTTGTTTGTTGAAAGAAGCTTGGTTTTGGGGGATCTTTACGACTTTTAGGATTGAGGTTTTCAATTCTTTTAGCCTTAATGTTTTGAATTGTTTTGTGTAATGAGTTTCTGAGGATCTGAGGAATTATGAGAAGTCATGTATTCAAGTTCTGCTATTAAGTTCCTGACGGCTGTGATCAAGTCGATTTTTTTTCTTTCTATTTTGATTGTTTGGGTTGCAGTGTATTGTTCTATGAGCTACAGGACTATGCTAGATTCTGGTCTGGACATAAGTTGCTTTGGATGTGTGAAAATTATGCCTAGTGGATTGGGATTAGCATTTTGTTATCTAAGGGAATCATTGAGTTAGTGACCAGCTCCAAATATGCAAGAAATTGTGAAAATGCATTAGTTTAGTCCTCTTTTCGGGTATCTATATGCCTTAACACTACAATTGCTCAGTGCTTGTGCTCCTTGCTGTTCTTAATTTTGATTATGTACTAGTTTGTTTAGGTGCTATTGTTATATTGCAGGATATGGCGGAGGCAGAAGACTTCTTAAGCGCTAAAGGCAAAAGACTTGTAATTGGATTTATTTTTGTGTTGAATTGAACAATATTATGTTCTACCAGTTAGTTGTGACAATGCAGATGGAGTTACTGGAATACTGTTGTAACTGTTATAGCTAGCTGATGAGTCCTACTAGTTAGATAAAAGGTCTCCTTATGTTCTTCAGCCTACAATCTAATACTTGCTGCAACAGTTTAGTAATTCAAATATTTTAGGATTTTAGCAAAAATGAAACTCTATTTGCAAAACCCATCAACAAGGACCATACTTTTCAAGACGATCAAGTAAGTCCATTTCTCTGCAACTTAATCAACCATGTAAATTATCTTTGGCTGGTTTTCATATGTGCACTTGTTCTAGTCCCTTATGTTTGAACCTAAATCTCTTGCTAGTTTGAATACTAAATGTGCATTATGATCTGATGTATACGTTTTATATTTAGGATAGGGGAAGCCAAAACCCCTAGCACTTGCCCACCTCCCAAAGCTGCTGGAATAACCAGGTCTCCTTACCGCCTCCTCCAAACGATCCTGTCGCTTCAAGGATTGCATCTGATGGCTGCAAGGAATCAATTGATAACACAAGACGAAGGAACGAGCCTCTATCTGATCTATCTTAGCTTAAGTGTAAACAAACCTTGTCTTCTTAATGGCAAAATTTGTATAGGCCAAGTAGAAGTCAAGACACCAAATCTCTGTCTTGAATCTCTGTTTTATAGTCACTCAAAAATCAAAATATGTGTAGATCATGAATCTATATTATAATTTTTATAAAAAAAAAAAAAATTCTGAGAACCCATCTTGAAAGACTACCATTGGACTATAAATTTTTTTTTTAAAAAAGCACAAGCTCTCATTTAACCAATTTCAAAAATTTATATTAAATAAATGGAGAGAGCTCATGGGGAGCTCTCAACCATTGGAGATGCTCTAACCAAACCAAATTCACACGTCTCTATTCGTTCGAGTTTCGACCTCTCCTTTACATATTTCGACTTTCGTGGTCTTAGATTGCAAGTGCTCCTGTTCTCACAAGTGCTAATAAATTTATATATAGGTTGCAAACAAACAAAATTATACTTTTACGTACAAGTTCCTTTAAGAAGCATTACTAATTAACTCTGGTTTTCTGTACTTAGGTGTTTTTTTTTTTTGGGACAGCAATCTTGGAGAAAGTTATAGGTGAAAACAACATCACGATAAAAGAGTATATACAAAGGCCTCCATCTTTCTTTTTTTTTTTTTTGGTAACAAAAGGCCTCCATCTTTAAGGTTCTTAAACAAGGCCACTGAATTTGGTTCTAAGTGTGAAATCTCTAGAACAGCCACCATGATTCCCATCACAATTCACAAAGACACAATTGTTTCTTCTCTTACTCCTCTCGCTAAAATTCGTCCGGTTCAGAATCAGATTTCAAAATTGGACGTTGCATTTAGGGCACCAGAGGAAGAGACTCTAACGGAAGAGGTTCAGCCGGAGCTAATGCCGAAACACACATGGTTATTATAATCGAAGAGAAGAAATGAGACTGAGAGTGAGATTGGTTTACAGTTGTATTTATTCTAGCCCACCTAAGTAGATGAACAATTCTTTTTATTTGTTAAATGTTATCTGAAATATACGTATTTTACAATACTTCAGTAGTTGATAAAATTTTCCAATGATATAAGTATTTAGTATTTACCAAAAATATTTCAGTTTCTATCAAAAAAATTAACAAGTATACTATGTCCGTGCATAGCAAGCTAGTAATGATTATTAAAAAAAAACAATTATAAATACCTTGTTCAGATTAGACCTAAATCCCTAAAACCGAAAATTTTCAGTAAGGGTTATCCCCGGCGCTCTTGTTAACTTGTCCATTGACGACAAAGTAATCTTCCTCTAATCCTAATGGCCTTTCTTCTTATTCACTCTTTGACGATCTGTTTCGAATTTCTGATAGATGTTTTTTGTACCTTAGGGGCTAGCTGGAAGTGAAGCGTAGTCGAAAAATCCGGTAAATCGATTGATTGATTGGTTGAGTTTTTTTGTATGTCTAATATATATATGTTGATAATAGGTTTATCTCTTGCTTGCAGTGACAGTGACATTGAGAGGATTGGCGTTACGGGATATGACATTGGGCTTCCTCGTGAACATGTCGAGAGGGAGTTGGAAAAACTTTACTCGCAATTCTTCTCTCTGGAGGTATGCTTTTATTTATTTTGTGGGAGAAGGCGCAGCAGACAAGGCGTTACAACTTAATGGAAGTGACATGGGAGGATGGACTGTCGATGCTGAGGCCTTGCCCTTTCCTGAAGAAGACGACAAGTAAACGGACTTCTTTAATTTATTTCCGGGATTTGTATCTTTAAGATTGTGTTCTAATTATATATATTTCAGTTACGTTGCATTTCAGGTTAAAGGATATGATACTTCGCTTAGTAAGTCTGATATCAAGTGCGAGTTGAGTAAACTTTTCTCTTCGTGTGGAAAGATTGATGATGTCAGGATTTACGAGGGGTTTGTGGCTTGTTCCTCCCAACCATTTTTTCCAAGTTATTAAAGTCTATCTACTAATAAAGACTTGTGTTTGTTGTTTTTTACAGCTTCTCTATAGTGTATCTAGTGGGGAAAGACGCAGTAGACGAGGCCCCAAAGCTTAGTGGGACCGACATGGGAGGGGGGCACAAAGTAGTTGTTCGGTTTGTTGCTTACCATGGAAGAACCATTGTCCACCCCCGCCGCCACAAAGGCCGCATCATTCGTGGCCGCCCAAGTACGCATACGTAAATATGTTTTTGATTCTTGATTCTTGATTCTTGGTACAGAAGTGTAACAAACTTTCGTTGTTATTTTATAGGGGAAAAGCGGAATATGGCTGAAAAAGAAGAAGATAAGAAGCCAAAGTTTGTTAATTAAAAGAAGATAATTAAGAAGCCAAAGATGAGTGCAAAAAAGAAGATAATTAAGAAGCCAAAGATGACTTTGGAGTTTAAGTAATTAAGCTCGCTAATCATCATCTGCCTTGGTTACCTAATGCATGATAGTTATGTCTGGATTTTAAAGTTATGATGTTTATGTTTGGATGTTAAAGTTACGATGTTTATGTCTGGAACTCTGGATGTTGAAGTTATGATGTGTTTATGTCTGGATTTTTATAAGTAAATCTCTATTGATTAGGTAGAGACGTTTTCATTAAAATCATATCATACTCGAGAATTCTCCTTTTGATGATGGAAATTAAAAAACATTTGCGCAAGTAGACGGCGATAAAGGATTTGCCAAATCTCAAATAGACAAACACAAATAATTATCTTACTGAAGTCACTGAACTTGAACTGAAATCCAAACCGAACATGCAAGCCAAACGGCTTCTATTCTACGGGAAGATGAAGCTAAGGAGCATTATGTTTTATAGGAAACTTTGACTCAGAATCTATCATTTTATTCCTACAGGCATGGCTTGAGATGACAATCCAAGTGAGGGAGGAGATGGAACCATCTCAGGTGAGAGCCAATTATGAAGCACAACACAAATACCTGACATGGCGAGCACAAAAGGTGATTTCATTTCCTTTGTGTAATTGCATTCTCTGTATTGTTACAGTAGATATTGTTTGGTGTTTGCAGGATCCTGGACATGGTCTTCTTAAAAGATTAGTTGGTGAAGCAAAGGCAAAGGTATGAAAGATTTGATCCCATTAGTGTCCCCATTATCAGTTTATGAAGATGTTGAGAAATGATATGAACAAAATCAGGAGCTGCTAAGGGATTTCCTGTTCAATGGGGTCAATGAGTTAGGTACAAAAACATTCATTGAAACTCGGCCATGAAGAGTCTCTTAGGTCTATCTGCATTTCAAGATGATTGTTTAAGTCATATGAAACTCCGCCATGAAGAGTCTCTTAGGTCTATCTGCATTTCAAGATGATTGTTTGAGTTACCAAGAGTTTTACTTCTAATTTGCACCATGCATTGTAGTTTTACAAGTGTAACTCTCAGCCTCTTAGTAGGGCTCAAGTCATTTGCTAATCCTATTAAAGGAGAAGCAAATTCTCTTTCTCTCTCAAAATGAGAATTCTCGAGTATGATATGATTTTAATGAAAATGTATTCGTCTCTACCTAATCAACAGAGATTTACTTATAAAAATCCAGACATAAACATATCATAACTTTAACATCCAGACATAAACATATCATAACTTTAGCATCCAGACATAAACATCATGCATTAGGTAAGCAAGGCAGATGATGATTAGCGAGCTTAATTTCTTAAAACATCTAGACAAAAAGCATAACAAGTAAATAAAAAGGAAGGTTGCACGAGTTAAAAACACCAAAGAGGTTCGTCTTCGAGCTAACTTCTAGTCCAGAGTCATCTTTGGCTTCTTAATTATCTTCTTTTTTGCAGTCCTCTTTGGCTTCTTAATTATCTTCATTTTGGCAGCCATCTTTGGCTTTACATCTATAAAGTAACAAGGAAAGTTTGTTAGACTTGGAAGCAAGAATCAAGAATCAACAACATATTGACGTACCTGGGCGGCCACAAATGATGCGGCCTTTCGGGCGGCGGGGGTGGAAAATGTTTCTTCCATGGTAAGAAACAAACCGAACAAGTGCTTTGCGCCCCCCTCCCATGTCGGTCCCACTAAGTTTTGGGGCCTTGTCTATTGCGTCTTCTCCCACTAGATACACTATAGAGAAGCTGTAAAAAACCAGGACGACAAGTCTTTAGTATAAGTTTAGACTATACTAACTTGGGGAAAAATGGTTGGGGAGGAACAAGCCACAAACCTATCGCAAATAATGACATGACCAACCTTCCCACATGAAGAGAAAAGTTTACTCAACTCGCATTTGATATCAGACTCACTAAGCGAAGTGTCGTATCCTTGAACCTCTAACTCAACGCAACTGAAATAATTGGATTGCAGCCGATGATATATAATATTAGAAAACAATCTTAAAGATACAAATCTCGGAAATAAAATAAAAATAAATTCCGTTTACTTGTCTTTTTTCGAAAGAAAGGGATAGGCCTCAGCATGGACAGTCCATCCTCCCATGTCACTTCCATTGAGTTGCAAGGCCTTGTCTGCTGTGCCTTGTCCCACAAAATAAATAAAAGCATGACTCCAGAGAGAAGAATTGCGAGTTTCGGGAATATGAACATCCGTGATCTCTCCACATGAAGAGAAAAGTTTGTTCAACTCACTCTCGACATGTTCACGAGGAAGCTCAATGTCATATCCCGTAACGCTAATCCTCTCAATGTCACTGTCACTACAAGCAAGAGATTATCATCAACATATATACATATCTTACTCATACAAAAATCTCAACCAATCAAACAATTTACCGGATTTTTCGACTACGCTTCACTTCAAGCCCCTAAAGATACAAAAACATCTATCAGAAAGAAATTCGAAACAGATGGTCAAAGAGTGAATAAGAAGAAAGGCTATAAGGATACGAACAAGATTACCTTGTTGGCGATTTCGTCCATGGATAAGTTGACAAGAGCGCCGGCGATAACCCTTAAGAGATATTTTACGGTATTTATATTATTTCTTTTTTAATCCTTGCTGCTAGCTTTATGGCACGGAGATGTATGTGTGTTAGTTAGAGATATCAAGCGGGCCTTGGCCCATATTCTTATGGCCTTTCTTCTTATCCACTCTTTGCCCATATTCTTATGGCCTTTCTTCTTATCCACTCTTTGACCATCTGTTTCGAATCTTTGTACACTCAAACCTCTATAAATTAATACTCGATAAATTAATAAACACTATAAATTAATAAAATTGTCCGGTCCCAAGTCGGGCCAATATAAAATTTGACAAAATTCGATAAGATAATAAGATAATAATTTTTTTAGAATCTCTATGTAAATATATGGTCCCATTAATATCCTAAATTAATAATCATGTAAATATATATATGTAAATATATATATATATATATATATATATATATAAGTTGTTATACTAAGGTATGCTTTTAGCTATTTTTTTATTAAATTGAATTTTCGTTAGAACATATGTCTAACTTTTATTGAATAAAACAATTGGTCTATTGTGGTTTTAAATTATAGTGTAGTATCTCATTTTCATTACGATAGTCTTATAGCTGTTAAAATACGACAATTGAGGTCATTAATCATAAATTTGAATTTACGTATATCGTTTGTATAAATAAATTCATCTATAGTCTTTGTAATCTTATTGTCATAGTCTTTGTAATCCTATTGTCTAATTTATTTTCGAAAAAGTTTTTTCAAACTATTAAAATTTCAAGTCCAAAACTACAAAATTTATAAATTCATTTCTTTCTAAAATCTTAAGAATTAAAACATATCTCTTTATAAATTAATAAATATTAATTTACACTATAAATTAATAAATATTAATTTATAGATAAATTAATATCACTATAAATTAATAAAATATCATGGTCCCAACAATATTAATTTATAGAGGTTTTACTGTAATTCTTTTGTCAAGCTTGATTCTCTTTAGACAACTTTTGGCTTTTCTTATGAGTTGCAACTTAATAACTTGCTTTTGGATGTGTATGCCACAGATTTTCTCTCTAACTAAACATCAAAACAACTTATGCTTTTGGTCGTGTATTAGCTCTCAAATTTTCTCTTTAACAAAACATCATTTATACTTTCATTTATAACGTCAAAACATTCCTAACCGGTCTGAGTCTCAAACTTGGATAGGAAGAGACTCTATCGGAAGCTCATGCGAAATCGTAAAACCGTAAAATATCATTAAGGGTAATCGCCGGCGCTCTTGTCAACTTATCCATGACACAGGAATCTTCTTCGTACCCTTATAGGCTTGTAGCCTTTCTTCTTATTCACTCTTTGGCTATCTGTTTCGAAATTCTGATACATGTTTTTATACCTTTAGGGGCTTGAAGTGAAGCGTAGTCGAAAAATCCGGTAAATCGATTGATTGATTGGTTGAGTTTTTTTGTATGTCTAATATATATATATATATATATATATGTTGATAATATGTATATATTTTGCTTGCAGTGACAGTGACATTGAGAGGATTGGCGTTACGGGATATGACATTGGGCTTCCTCGTGAACATGTCGAGAGGGAGTTGGAAAAACTTTACTCGCAATTCTTCTCTGTGGAGGTATGCTTTTATTTATTTTGTGGGAGAACAAGGCGTTACAACTTAATGGAAGTGACATGGGAGGATGGACTGTCGATGCTGAGGTCTATCCCTTTCCGAAAGAAGAAGACAAGTAAAGGGAATTTATTTTATTCTATTTCCGGGATTTGTATCTTTAAGATTGTCTTCTAATTATTTCAGTCGCGTTCAGTTAGAAGTTAAAGGTTATGACCCTTTACTTAGTGAATCTGATCTCAAGTGCGAGTTGAGTAAACTTTTCTCTTCATGTGGGAAGGTTGATCATGCCAGGATTTGCAAGAGGTTTGTTGCTTGTTCCTCCCCAGCCATTTTTTCCAAAGTTAATAAAGTCTTAACTATATACTAAAGACTACTTGTCTTATGTTGGTTTTTTGCAGCTTCTCTATAGTGTATCTAGTGGGAGAAGACGCAATAGACAAAACTTAGTGGGACTGACATGGGAGGGGGGCACAAGGTAAGTGTTCGGTTTGTTGCTTACCAGGGAAGAACCATTGTCCACCCCCGCCGCGTCATAGGCCGCATCATTTGTGGCCGCCCAAGTACGTAAATATCTTGTTGATTCTTGATTCCTGTTAACAAATTGTGTAACAAACTTTCGTTGTTATTATATAGATAGAAAACCAAAGATGGCTGAAAACAAAGAAGATGAGAAGCCAAAGAAGACAAGAAGCCAAAGTAGATGGCTGCAAACAAAGAAGATAAGAAGCCAAAGTAGAAGAAAGCTCGCAGACGAACCTCTTTGGTGTTTTTAACTTGTGCAACCTTCCTTTTATATTACTTGTTATCATCTGCCTTGGTTACCTAATGCATGATGTTTATGTCTGGATGTTAAATTTTATGTTATGTCTTTGTCTGGATTTTTACACCTAAATCTCTGTTGATTAGGTAGAGACGACTACACAATTTCATTACAATCACATCGTACTCGAGAATTCTCATTTTGATGATGGAAATTTTAAAACATGATTAGCGCAAGTAGACGGCGATAAAGGATTTGCCAAATCTCATCTAGACAAACACAAATAATTATCTTACTGAATTCACGGAACTTGAACTGAAAATCCAAACGGCTTCTATTCCACGGGAAGATGAAGCTAAGGAGCATTATGTATATTGTGGTGATGTGAGCCTTGTTTGAGCAAAAAGGTTGGTCCTTCGATTATTGTGCGTATCATCGTTACAGGAGTTGTGAATTATGCTGCAAGCTTGGTGCGGTCCTTAGCTGAGAGAGTGCAGAAACCAGAGGAATAGAAACGTAAGAGCGAGTGAGAGATTTGTAAGAGCATAAAGCTTGAGAGAGAGCCAATTTTCTTTTCCTTTTACAAGATTAGCAACTGACTAGAGAGCTAGTGAAGGGCTGAGAGTTACACTTGTAATACTTGTTAAACTACAATGCATATTGCATATCAGAAGATAAAACGTTTGGTAAGTCAAACAATCATCTTGAGATGGAGATAGACCTGAGAGACTCCTCATCATGCTGCTCTTTTTTATTCCTACTTCCCTTAGTTCACTTCCTCTTGTGTTGATGACTCTGAAATCGAACTTGTTCACATATATTCATTGTTAGCCGATAAATTGTCCTGTTAAATCCCATGGCCGAGTTTCATATGACTTCCCAATGATACTTCGTTTATCGTTTACAGTTCCATCTTCTGTTTGGTACTCTGGAAAGTAATCAATGAATGTTTTTGTGCCTAACTCATCCACCCCATTGAACAGGAAATCCCTTAGCAGCTCCTGATTTAGTTCAAATCATTTTTCCTAAACTTATTATGGGACAACAAGTGAAACACTAATGGGATCAAAAATCTTTTATACCTTTGCCTTTTCTTCACCAACTAATCTTTTAAGAAGACCATGTCCAGGATCCTGCAAACACCAAACAATACAGACTGTAACAATACAGATACAGTGTCTGTTCAAACATGCAATATTACACAAAAGGAAACTAAATCACCTTTTGTGCTCGCCATGTCAGGTACTTGTGTTGTGCTTCACAATTGGCTCTCACCTGAGATGGTTCCATCTCCTCCCTAACTTGGATTGTCATCTCAAGCCATGCCTGTAGGAAGAAAATGATAGATTCTCAGTCAAAGTTTCCTATAAAACCTTAGCTTTTGGCCGCTGAGTATACCTGATAGTACTCCAGAAACGCAGAGAACAAAGCCTTATGTTTTTCTTGGCTAGACGAAAACCTGGTCCACATCACCAAAGGCGAAAAAAACTTTATGGATTCACCAGTCAATTTCCCTCCCCATGGGAAAGTCTGAAATAAATCTCAAGATCAGTCATTTATACAAGCATTACGTTTACCTGCAATTGAGTGATTTAGTGTTTCTATTACCTCAGCATATTTGTGATATATGGACATGATCTTGTTATAATACTTGTCTTGGTAATCCGTCTGGTCAGTCAACTGATGCAAAGGATTAAGGTCCCTAAAGAAGAGCATAGAGTAAATCTAGTGCCCATGTTTGGACAATACAGACATGATAACTCCAGCATAACTAGAAGATAAAGAAGAAGATAACTTACAATACAACTATGTTCACGTTGGCAGATGTGAAAAAGTTAGCACAGAATATGGGAGTATCATACTCAGGCTCCATGAAACCTGCAAAGTCAAAGACCTGCACATTATACACACAACAAAAACAATAAGAAAAGCCACGATACAAACAATCAATCATTCGCTGGTAAGGAATGGGGACTAAAGCAATCAATTTGTACACAGATACTGCTGAAGTTAAACCTGCATTGTCTCATTCTCTATGGCCATGCTCCTCAAGAGTCTAATCTTTGAAGATTTAAAAGCAAGCATTCGAAGTTCCGTCCTCCCATCCAATCCTGTCATGCTACTATACTTTTCCTGAAACAGTTTCATGATTAGAAAAATAAAATCTGAAGCTTTATTATATAAGCAGTCTAAAACAGTGAATTTATTGGAGAACTCATTAAATCTGCCTAGACTGGAAATGGATAAACTCTCTAAACACAAAAAGAACAAGAGCTAAGGATGTTCTTCAATGCTGTAAAAACACTTAAAAGCTTGCTCTTTGTTTGGTCCTAATGACAACTCAAATCAATTTACCCAAAATTTTCAGAGTATTTTTTCAGAAAGCAGGCAAGAAACAATGATAAAGATAGTCCTCCCTTACACTAACGAAATGTAATTGCATATACCTGGAGATGTGAAGGTTCAAGAACGATCCTTTTCCTGGTTTCTTCTAAAGCAGACTCTGCGAATTCCTTATAGGAAACAGCAGAGACTCTAAATAAGAATCTTTTACTTCTCCTTCTCGACGTGAAATTGATCTTCTTAGGGCTTGCAGAGATTAGAACAGGAGGGTTTGGTGCCTTGAAGCACGACCCAATTGAAAATCCAGACTCCATTGACAAAGCCATTACAACAACAATCACAAATTGATAACTCAAGGTCTCCTTCCTCCGACACTCTCTTCAATTCTTTATACTGAAAAACTGAAAAGCAAGATTCTTAATCTATAAAAGAGAGAGTTTTTTCACAATTTTAGTGAGACAAACGCAATTTCGCAACGACGATGAATTTCAGCAGAATCCGAGAGATAATCCAACTATAGGGCCCACACCTGCCACGTGGAATTGCACAGTCACGTTGTCGTCAACTATGGGGAATCTCAAAGGTTTGATTTTTTTTCCTCCTTTTGTTTTAAATTTCAAAACGTTAGCTATTCCTCACTTTGTATTGTTTCTCTTCCTTGCGTTCTCTGTTAGGGAATCTCCGATGGCTGAGAGTACAGAGACAGAGAAGCTAAGTCTGAGACTTCTCATAGATGAACAGAAGAACAAGGTTGTCTTGGCTGAATCTGGTAAGGATTTTGTTGATGTGCTCTTTAGTTTTCTCGCACTTCCCATGGGAACTATTGTAAGATTGCTTGAGGAACATCGGAAATCGCCTCAAGTGGTTGTAGGATGTTTTAACAATCTTTACAAAAGTGTTTCAGAGATGGGTATTGAGAGTTTTCAGACAGAAGCATGTAAGCAAATTCTACTGTATCCTAGGAGTGTGAATCTTGAGAAGTACAGAAAGATTAAGTTGAAAATAGATGACACAGAGGCTGTCAAGTACTTTGTTTGCTCAGGTGTTCACTACAGAGAATCCTGCAGAACTTTTTATAGCATTTCGAACAAGGAGGAATGTGAATGTGGAGAGTATGAGAACTCGTATTTTGTCAGAAGATTGATGAATTGGGAGATTCTGAGACCTGAAAAGGAACAAGTTCAAGGAAGCATTTTTAGAAAGGATAATGATGGAGTTTTTGTCAGCTGTAAAGCTTGTTCTTTCATTATAACAGATGATCTGAAAGTGGCGGCGAGCTCTATGGATTATGTTTTGAATACTCTCAGAGGCTTAGGCTACGAAAATTCTCACAAGCTCGGTGAAATACTTCTTGATGTCGGTTTCAATGAGGTATTTTCTTACCGTGTCATCATTCTTCTTTGGTCTTCCTCATTTGTATACGTATTTACATGTTGTTAAAGTGTTTGTTTGTGTCATTGGCAGGTACTTACTTTGCTGGAATGTTTATTTACTTCGGACTCTCCTTTAACCGACACTTTTATGAAGAAGCAAAGTTCATTGCGCATGACCTGATCTAGTATACCTCTGAGTCCATCTTTGCAAGGATCTGGAGACGGAGCAGGACCAGGCCAAACCATAACTTTTAAAGCATTTGTTAGAAAACCGGACACCAAGATTCTCTGTGTTGAATGTGGAGCAGACTTCATTGATCTTCTTTTCACCTTTTTAGCTTTGCCGCTTGAATCCGTCTGGGACATCTCTGGAGACAGTATCAGTTTAGGCTGTATTGGAAACTTATTCAGAAGCTTCAAGAGTTTGAATGAAGGAACTGATGCTTCATCCTCTTCCAAAAGCCAGCTTCCTTGGCTTTATAGCTGCCCTAAACAGTTACTTGATGTCGTCACTGAGAAACAAGAGATCTATTGCAGTTTCAATCGCTCTGTTGATAAAACCTATGGGTATGACTTTAAGTTCACTAGGAAGAGGCCTGATTGTCTGAATTCATAAAAGGAAAACAACCTGAACATGTTTACCACCTGCAAAACAGCAGTTTTATATATGACAAGTTTTGGGTTTATGAGGGAAAACAGCAAGGTTTTTGGTAACTGATGATTTGGTTATCAAACCGAAGAACTTGGTTTCAAACATTAGTTTGCTAAATTTGAAAATGCACATGGAGAAGGAAGATGTTGAAGAACAAGTGATCACCATAGGGAAACTAGAGGTATGGGTTTAGTCTTTTGTTTGATTTAAGTGTTTGACCTCGAGGGAAAAATTGTATTCTTTCATTGAGTATGTCTTTTACTGCAGGCTATCAGTTTGTTAAGAGCTTCTGTGATAACATCCTCAGCTTTAACTACTTGTTTCTGGAGCTTAATCGCGAAGAAGGCCAAAGAAGAAATTTAAGGGAAGAGAATTTCAGGATCTATCTGGTTATATTTTAAGAGGCTCAGTAGTTATGTACCAGTATCATCTCCTATTTTAACTTTATCAAAAAACACTATTAGTACTCGTCATGTTTATCTTCTTATTGAATGAAGTTCATCCAAACTGAGTCAATTACTTTGTGATGGATTGCTTCGGATCCAGATGGTTAAGCTTAAGTACTTATGGTTTTCAAAGAACCGTGTTATAGTCTTATAGACCAAAGTTTTTGCTGGTGAAGGCATTCATTCAGACTAACAGTTTGGTTTTGATACTATGTTTCATTTCGTTTTGGTGTTGTTTTGGTTTAGATAATCTCAGATTAAGGGTTTCAAGTATTTTGTTGATTATCATACTTATGGTTTTCAAAGAACCGTGTTATAGTCTTATAGACCAAAGTTTTTGCTGGTGAAGACTCTAAAGTTGCCTCTGTTTCTGATCAGACAGATCATTGTGGCTTTTAGGGTTTAATTGTTTAAGAAACATTCTGTATTCTTGATGAGATGTTATCCTATAACAGACAATGACGAGCTAAGAAAGAGGTTTTAGGGCCTAATAAAGAGTCTGATTTCTAGCTCATAAACGTTGTCAACATCTCAATAGAATTGAAGGATTAACGTAAGACTTATTCTGCAAAGCAAAGCAATACAAGTTCCAGAATTTTTCAAATCCACGAAGACTTATCAATTATTATCAACCCACACACACATCAGAGGAAACACAAACGAAACAAAAATAAGCAAAAGGGCTCTATGGGACACTCGCAAAGTCCATGATTTGACGAAGCTTGGCCTTGAAGACAGTGTAATCAGAGAAAAGTTTTCTCCCTAAGATGCAGGAGTCAACATTGGTTCTCTTGAGTACAGAGAGCGAGTGGGAGGGCCAGACAAACTTTCCAGCCTTTTCAGACATGGCCGTGTGAAACCCTAAACAAATAGCTACTTTTTCAGCGTTCTGAGAGCACCATTGTGCAATCCAAACCACCACCTTCTCCCTCGTGTCCATGCTCAGGAGGTGAGTAGGCGCGTTGTGAACGGTAACTACCTCTGTTGGCCTAGCAGCTGAAAAATTATCCAGATATGATAGCATCTCATCAAGAGCCTCCCACTTGACCTCATCATCGAAGATAGGTGACAAAGTTTTTAAAAGTTTCCTGTAGGCTCCAGCCTTCATAACGGCGTCTTCAGTAGCAGGGAGCCTAAATGCAGCGCTCTGAATACCTGCGTTAATTAGACTCTGCTTAATGGTATTACTGCATGCAATCTCCTTCTTGAAAGATATCTTCACTGGGTGTCCAGCCTTGTGCCACATGGCGTCCCTTAAGGCCTCTTCATCCTCTTTCCACCAAGAGAATTGGTCAAAGCGAGAAAAGAATTGCCTCTCCACCATGGAAAATGCTCTCTTCGACTGGTCATTGTAATGGTGGGAAGTCGTGACCAATGAGTACCCCTGGAGGGGAATCACTCCATGAGCGATTAAGAGCAGTCTTTGAATCACTTTATTTTCGGTTTCAGACAATTTCAAAGGTTTGGACAGCTCCTCCTTCCACTTTGAGTCCACGTCGTTTTTGATCACTATGGTTTTCCTATCGTATTCCGTTGCCAATTTCGCTGTGTCCATCTCCTCCATTATGAGGTCATTGTCAACAATGTGATACAGCTCAGTGGACACGGCTCTCGCCACCCCAATGACAATACCCTTCTTGTGTCTCAAGGTATGGCTGACACCGGCCTCGGGATAGATGGTCATCCTTGCAATCTCTTGCAATATATAGGCATGAGTATGCCTGATTGAATCCTGTGAGTGAAGACCCTCTATTGGAGACCAGTGCCAGGTCCTGCCCATGGTTGGCTTCACCATTAAGCTCTTCTCTTCAGTTAAATCCTCATTCTTGATTTTGCAGCCAGTGACGAGGGAAAGAGAACCAATCTCATCAGCTATCTGTTTCGACATGCTTAAACTCAAAACTTAACAAGAAACGTGATGCAGTAGAGATATTTTTTTTTCTCTAGATGGTGAATATGAATTGTGGGATAAAGAAGTCGATGCACATTCTTGAAATAATCTGGTCTTAAAGACGAAAATGGTTTGCCCATTGGGACATGTATTCAAAACTCATGCAGTGTTTGGGAAGCGCAAAGGTTTTGGTGAGCATGTCACAGCTGGAACTTGATTCTTTAAACATTTTGTTATTTTCTTAATTTTCCTTTGGGATTTGTATTCCAAGTTCAAGCATAGGGAAGCTCAAAGGATTGTGACTCTTGTGGTTTCATTATTCTCATTTACTGTCTGATAAAAACCCTCTTGAGATTCGTAACTGCTGGTTCTTCAATATATAGAGGCGCATCTTCTTGTTCACGTCTTCATAGCCTAATATCTAAATTCTCAGTTACTGCTCTTCCTTGTTTTGCTCTTACTCGTTTCCTTAACCTACAATGGCAAGAAGTGCGAAGTTTAGCTTGAAACTTCTCGTTGATGAGAAGAAAAACAAAGTTGTGTTAGCTGAGGCTGGTCATGATTTTGTTGATGTGCTCTTTGGTCTCTTGACACTCCCAATGGGGACTATTGCAAGATTGCTGGAGAATCATCAGAAGTTACCACAAGTCTTAGGTTGTTACAAGAATCTTAAACAAAGTGTTTCAGATATGGTCATTGATGATTTCGAGACCGAGGCTTGCAAGAGTATGTTGCTTTCTCCAAAGAGTTCGAAGGAGATCCATTGCAGAAGACTCAAGTTGAACATTGATGATACTGCGGCCACAACGTTCTATGTATGCTCTAAATTGTATGAGAGCGACTCATGTAAGGTATACAGCAATTTTTACAACTCAAGATGTAGCTGTGGATCTTTGATGAGCTATTCGGTTCAGGTTCCAGAAGACGCGCAAGTTCTAGAGTTGTTAGGGAATGCTGTAGATGGTGTGTTTGTTAGCTGTAGATCCTCTTTCATTGTCACAAATGATTTGAAAGTGATGTTGAACTCTATTGATGAAATAGTGAAGGTGGTCAATGGCCTAGGATATCCAAATTTAAATGAGCTGCAGGAAATGCTCATTGATGTTGGCTCTGAAGAGGTACTTTGGTTTTCTGTATTTTTTGTTATTTTCTCAGTGTTTTTTATATAAACTTTTCATATATATCTAGTCTTGTCTAAATTTAGGTGCTGTCTCTACTGGGGAATTTATTCACTTCCGAGTCTGCCTTGACAAGCACATTCCTCATGAAACAGAGCATGACAACGATGCTTCCATTGCCGCCTCCACCAATGTTCAAAACTGGAACAGTAGAACAGGGCAGTGGATGCCATATGAAAGTGTTCGTTGGAAAGTTAGACAGGAAGATTCTTTATGCTGAGTGCAGTGAAGACTTCATTGATTCTCTTCTCACTTTTCTTGTTCTCCCTCTTGAGTCGGCGTCTTCGCTCTCCAATGACAATACCATTTTTGGATGTGTCAAGAATTTGTGCAGATGTGGGTATAGAAGACAGTTTACTTACAATCTTGGTCTTCCAGGCTATTATACTTGCAGTAAGAAACTGCTTGAGATTGCCAGTTGCCCTTCACTAGCATATGAATGTTTAATTCCCCATAAGTGTTACTCTTCTTCGCTTTTGAAATGTGCCAGATGGTTTGAAAGATCTTTGCTTGGAAAAGGGGATAAAGTTGTTACTTTGAATCCTATTGATCCAAAGAATTTCAAGTCTTGCACTTCAATGATAGTTGATAAAGGGTTTGTGAAGAGAAATACCAAATTCATCGTCTCTGATGACCTGCTTATCACTCCAATGAACAAATTTTCAACCATTGGCCTGTTAAAGAAGATGCAGATTAACATGAACGACTTCGAGGCTCAATCGATTTGCATTTACAAAGCAGAGGTTTGCTCATTCTATATTTTATGTTGGTATTGATTCTTCTTTATAGCCTTTTTGCATCAGCTTAAATATTGTGAACCTGCCGTTTTTTTTTGCAGCTAATCAATATCTTAAGAGCTTCCTTGACTTCGTCCTCTGCTTTGACCAACGGCCTCTCGTACTTTCTTGCAAAGGAGCCAAAGAAAGAAACTTGAGTTGATGCTCTTCTTCTCTATGTTTCATTTCGTTTTGGTGTTGTTTCTGTTAAGCAATTCTCAGAATAATGGTTTTAAGTATTTTGTATTTTGGTTGATTTATGATCCTAAATAAAATTTCTTTTTGCTTACATTCCTCTATCACAACAACTCTTTGCTAAAACCTAAGACTCTGATATATGTTGCCTTTCTCTCCGAAGACGGTCCCTTGTGGCTTTTAGGGTTGAAGAAACGTGTTCTTGATGAGATGTTGTCCTATAGCAGGCAATGATCTAAAATGTAGTTGAGTTCAATTCATCTGGTCCTGAATTGATCATTAGTATATGGATTTGGAACTCTCTCTCTTTTTTTTTTTTTTTTTTTTCTAACAAGCAATCCTAAAGAAGTAGCTCAGCAACTTTGCAGATACCTAAATATGATGAAACCCATTAAAGGCGTTTCTTTCTCAATGCCCTTATAGCTACTGCCTCTTTTCTTACTGGAGCTAGGTGGGCGGCTTCCTCTTTAATCGATTGCTTTTTTTATGGAAAATATACACTCTTTCCCTTGGGACATGAATCCAAACTCATGCGCTCATAGGGACACTCAAAGGTTTCTTGGTTTTGGTTATTTAATTTGAATCTTTATGGTAACTAAACATTATGTTCTGTGAACACGTCTATATATATGGGGGGAAAAGCCTGGTTTCCATTCATTGAAACTCCTTTCTAAAACACTGCTCGTAAATACTCTTTCTTCTTTGATTTGACCTGATATTTTGATGGCTAAGAGCTCCGAGAAGCCCAAGTTTAGTCTAAGACTTCTCATTGATGAGGAGAAAAACAGAGTTGTTTTGGCTGAAGCTGGGAAGGATTTTGTTGATGTGCTCTGTAGTCTTTTGACTCTCCCTATGGGTACCATTGTCAGGTTGCTTGAGAAGCATCAGAATCCGCAGTCTGCAATTGTTGGTTGTTTTCACAATCTTTACAAAAGTGTTTCAGACATGGACGTTGATAACTTCCAGACTCAAGCTTGTAAGAATTTGTTGCTGCATCCTCGTAGTGCTAAGGCGAGTCATGGCAGAAAGCTAAAGCTGAACATAGATGACACTGAGGCGACCAAATTCTTTGTCTGCCCAAATTTTGTTTCTACTGAAGCATGCCGTAAGTTATACAGCCATGTTAGTACCACGAAGTGTTGTTGTGGAAGTTCAATGACCCATGAGATTCCGGTTGAAGAAGATCAAGCTGATGGAGTATTGCTCAGCTGCAGAACATCATTTGTTATTACTGATGATCTTAAAGTGGCATTGAACTCTATGGGTCTTGTTATGAATGTTCTCAATGATCTTGGCTACTCTGGTTTTGATAAGCTGCAAGAAATGCTTATTGATGTTGGTTTTGAAGAGGTACTTGAATTTCATTGGAATTATTTATATTTTCCTTTTAGTACAACTTATGAATAACTCTTTCTCACATTTATTCATTGTTTAAATGTAGATTCTAACTTTGCTAGGGTGTTTGTTCACTTCGGAAGCTCCATTGACAGACACCTTCCTGAGGAAACATTGCATGTCAAGGAAACGTAAAATGTTGACACCACTTGTACAAGAAAGTAGTGTTGCAGGGGTTGCAGAAACACCCTTAACTTTGAAAGTTTATGTTAGAAAGTCAGACAGGGCTGTTCTGTATGCTGAATGCAGAGAAGAATTTGTTGATTTTCTATTCACTTTTCTTGCCATCCCGCTTGAGTTTGCTTGGGAACTTTCTATTGACAATGTTAAAATGGGCTGCGTTGGTAATCTGTGCAGAAGCGTGAAAGATTTGAGCTTTGAGAAGCAGAAAGAAGCCACTGTTTCTAAATGCATGCTTCCTTATTATTACAATGGAAGGGCACAACCTCTAGATGTTGTTATCCAGGAATCACCAGAATATGAATGCTTGGTTTCCCGTTATGGTCATAGCATGCTCTCTAAAAAGATTAACAAGACTGTGCTTTCAAACGGTGAAATACTTGCAAAGTTCACTTCAGTTTCTGCTAGTATTGGACTTGTGAAGGAAGAAACGAATTTCATAGTGTCTGATGATCTGGTTGTCACTCCTATGAACTCGTCCTCAACAATTTCACTGTTAAGCAAGCTGCAGATGAACATTGGTGATATCGAGGAGCAAGTAATTAGCATTGGCAAAGCTGAGGTATGGTACCTCTACATTTTTATTTATAGTCTTTGATTTTTGAGATAGATATTCTTAATATTTTTGAAAATACTTGTGTTGCAGGCCACTAGTTTACTTAGAGCTTCGTTGATCACAACCTCTGCGTTAACCAATGGTCTCTCCAGCTTCCTCTCAAAGATGGACCCGGACGAAGCAACTCAAGCTACACCTAAGATTCAAAAGTCTGACAAACCCAATGAAGCATGGCAGCTTCTGTAGCTATGTATTTCTTCGAATTTCAAGTGTTTCTTTTTTTTTTTTCTTGTTTTGTTGCAGAATCCTTGAGAACATGGCTTTTGTTTGATTGTACTCCATTTGCTATATGTATTTTTCTGAATTTACATGCGGTTGGCTTGCTTTTTCTCTTAATGCCTATGTACCAGTTTTGTTTATTTAGTATGGTCTTCTTACTTTATGACCATTACAGTATTGTGAAAGGGAACCATAAGACTGTAACATTACTACAAGTCCCACTATGTTGAGGATCTTGACAACTCTTATTAAGAAATCTTAAATGTCTGAAAGTAGGATTAAATGTATTACGTGATTGTATTATCTGTGTTCTTTAGGTTTTTGTGATGTTGATTAAATCTATAAACTGAAACTATCTCTTGTATTTGAATGTGTTACTAGACAGTTATTCTAAATGGGATTCAAAAGATTCAGACAAAGAAGATGAAGCCTGAAGGTAGAGAAACAATTTTTCCTCTCAATGACAACGATTGCATAGGAGCCTCTTATACAGATAGAGGGTTCTGGTTTACAACCACTTGACCGAGATTAATTATAGAGATGGTTAACATAAACCAACTCAACTACTCTAGTAATACAAAATGTTTCAACATTGATAATCTTGTAGAGATTTTTTTCTATTTTAAAAGAAAATTTGTCATTTTTCAAATAATAAGTTGTCCAAATCATAATTTTTTGGCACTGAAATTTTACTTTTGCAATAAAATTACAAAATTTATTTTATTTGGTCGTTTTTCCTCCACATCATTACATCCATTGAATTTTTTCTCTCTACAATGTGGTTAGGGAAAATTGGAAAAAGGGATATCTACTACAAAATTTGTCCATATATTCTTTTTTTTTGTAGATTGGTCAATTAGGTTTTTTAAAAATTAAAACCCAACTTTACCCTCATTTTCTCTCAAAATTAATTCAAAATTGATTTAAAAAATAAAACTTCCTAATTTATTTACAAAAATTAAATAGAATTTAAAAGATCAAATCATCGTCCACTTGCAAATTCTTATTTCTTTAATTTCATCAACATGTACATGTTCGTTTTTTATATTACATACTTTGACGGGCATGTTCATATTTTTGTATACATGTATATTTTGTCCATCTTACGCATTACCTTTAGCCTAAAATCATCGAATTTTCTCAAAAGCTGTTATACGTAATTTATTTACACACATTATATTTATAAATGAAGATGGCAAACAACTCAACGTAACGAGTTATTATACATTTGATCAATCCAACATTATGCATATTGTAATCTTTAGTATATATTACGTATTGACCATTTCATTTACACTTTTTATGCTGAAACTATAGAAAAACAAGATTAATTAAACTTGAAAAATCATATTTTTAATTAACGAACAATATAACCACATTCTTCTAGTTGAATATTATTATCTTCGGGTGGTGAAAGCCGGAATAGGACTAATACGAATCGGTTCTTAATAGATATAAAATACAAAAATTAAAAGAAGGATTATGATATGCATGAGAGATTAATTCACTAATGTAACTTTTTTTCACACATAAACCGGAAAAAAACATAGATCACACGATGGCTAAAAATCAAGAAAATGACGATGACGCTGCAGCTTTTGAGAAAGTGTTTGTAAGCTTGTGGGTTATCAAAGCGGTGGACGACGGACCAAACGGTGGATATTGGAGCGGAGATCTCTTGAATAACAACAGAGCAACACTGGTTAGGATCAACCTCGTGTGTGTGAAAACGAGCGGTCGCGGAGTCGCGTGAGAGAGAAGGAAAAAGTTTTTGGAACGACACGATCATCATCGGAATCTAAACGTAGGGTATAGCAAGAAATTGAAAGTGATGGCTTAGCTTAGGGTTTAGAAACGTTTTTGGTTTTAATTTTTTCTAAAAAACGTAGATAACGATTTCTAAATTGTGTAGATCGTAATCTAAACAATTAATACCCATTTAAAACGTAATTTACAATAATTATTTAGTTTCCTTTTCTATATTTAGTGCATTCTAAAAATTACAGAAATCGAAATCTGCAATACCGTAGAATTTACATTCTAAACCAAGATTACAATTTCTAACGATGGCAGAAGATGTAGAAATTATTAGAACGGCTATTCTAAAATATTTAGAACATAGAGCAAAACGTAGAATGCATGTTCTAAATATTTTAGATATATGATTTTCGGATTTCTAAAATTCTCAGAACAAAAATCTAGTCTGAAATATGTAGAACATGTACAAAAATGCAAAATACACATTCTGAGTTTTGCAGAACTCTAGAAAACGTGTTCTACCAAAATTAGATGAAACTTTATCTATCAAAAAATCAACTTTTTAAAAACCAAATCTAAAAAATTCCACTTCAAATCACCTATACTCTTGTATATCTACATGTTATTATTATATATATTTTTTTAAATATTTAAATAAGAGTGTATAGGTAAAATCGTCTAAACTGATAATCTCACAAAAAGGTGTATATGGACAAATTTTTAAGTAGATATCTTTATTTCCAATTTTCCCGTGGTAAATGAATCCTCATAAAAACGTGAAAAAGGTTATGTTATTCCTCCACGTCATTATATTATCAAGGGATTATTTGTAATTTCTCATTTTTATTTTTTGGTTACCAATAAGTTTTTGCCTTGACTCGACTGGCCTCAGTATATAACGAAGACTTCGGTCTAACTCTCTCTCTCCTTTCTCAACTACTACTCTCTATCTCTCTCTTCCTTTCGTGAATTTTCTCTCTCTAGGGTTTCGATTTCAATTTTTTTCCACTGAACCCGCGATTGAACTGAACCTTCACCGTCCATCGCCATCATCTCAGGTTGATTTCGTAGACATCGACGGAGCTTTCTTGTTTCAAAGAATTTGGATGTTGTTTCCGATTCGCCGAAAGCTCTGTGTTCTTTAGTTGATTCCTCGGATACTGGATGCTCTTGGTGAGTTTTCGCACTTATTAGTGATACGCATGATTTTGGTGTCGAGATGTTTTCGAGAAGGGGACGAATTTGAAATGTCCGGCTGAGATTTCGTTGATTCGCCGCTTCTAGGGTTTTCTTTTCTTCTGGTAGTCTAGAACCAAGATTATATGGATCTCTTGCTCTGCTTTGGATCTTAGTTGCTTCAATTTACGGCTTTGTTTCTTTACATGGAGAGAGTTAGGAAAAGATTTTGAGTTTGCATTCTCGTCTGTGTTGCCTTTACCCCGAGGTTGATAATATTGTGCTTTTCTCATGCCTTCAGATATGACTTAGGTTACAGAGGAAGTAGATGTTAGGCTAATGCTGTTCATTTGCCCTTGAATGGTTGCTACGATGGACTTAAATGCTTCACCCCAACCCGAAGAAGATGACGAACCCTATGTCAGACATTTAGAAGATTATAATTCTCGGGATGACCGGATAGAGTCTGCTGTTGAAATCGCAAGACGGGTACTATTGATTTTCTCCACTCAACATGGATTGATGTAGCTACTATAATGCAGGACACTTTAGGAAACAATTAACTAATGTCATCATTAATGTGGAATCCCTAATAATTGATTCCCCACATAATTTCTTATTTTCCCCGAGTCTGAGGATGGTTTTGCATATGTTTTTGCTTCAGGAGCGTGAAGAGAGAAAGAAACGAATGAGATATGACAAGCCAACACATAACTCGCAGCCAGTTTTCCGTGATCAATATTATCAGAATCGAAATACTAAAGCTTATGATAGATACAAGATCCCTCAAGGTGATATTTTTATACTGAATTCGTACTTATCATTTCATGGTTAATATCACTTCAAGTATAAACGGCTTCTAAATTAGCTGAAATGTTTTTAGCTTGTATGTGTTCTTTTATTTACCTTTAGGCCAGTTCTTTAAGTAGGGTGACTCTTTGACACCGTGTCCGATATCACAGGTTGGCTAGACTGCCCTCCTTCTGGGCATGAGATAGGATTCCTTGTTCCTTCCAAAGTTCCCCTGAATGAATCTTACAATAATCATGTACCTCCTGGAAGTAGATACTCTTTTAAACAGGTGATCCATAGCCAGAGGATAGCTGGGAGAAAGGTAATTTGTGGAATTTCTTTTTCCTTACTCTTTTGAAACTATGAGTATGTATCATCGTCTAGGCAACACTGGTATGTCCGTGATCTTAGTTATTGTGTATTGTCACTGAATTTTTCAGCTTGGTCTGGTGATCGATTTGACAAACACAACTCGTTACTATTCTACGACAGACTTGAAGAAAGAAGGCATTAAGCATGTGAAGGTAAACGGATTAGATACTTGTTCTATTCCCATATCCTCCGTGACAGCTGTAGCGGTTGCTTTATCTTTAGATTTCTTTGCTTGTAGATTGCATGCAAGGGTCGTGATTCAGTGCCAGATAATGTGTCTGTCAACGCGTTTGTCAATGAGGTATTTTTTTTTGGCAAAATGAATCATAAATGCTTTCCTGAAATTGTATTTTATTTTCTCTTGATGTTCTTGTATATTATTTATTTCTTTACTGTTAGCATCTCACTAAAGAAAACTGTTTGCAGGTTAATCAGTTCGTCCTAAATCTAAAACA